AAAGTCTCCACCTGCCTCCTAGCGGGCCCTCCTCCAGGACGCATCCTTCAGCCAGGGGACCATCCTAAGTCCCATGGCTGCCCTGCCCTGCTCTAGCGTCCAGTGGGCCCCTGCATGCGGGCCAAAGCCCCACTCTTTAATGAGGCCCCCAAGGCCTTAGGGGCCTGGCCTACCCCCTCCCAGCTCTTCCACAGTGGCATTTTACTGCTCCTCTAAACCGTCATGCTGGTGTACAGCTCTCTCCAGCTCCCAAGCCTCCAATACGGTTTTCTCCCCGCCCTGACAACTCAAACTCAAAAATGCCCCTTCCTGCTATCCTCTGGCCTCCAGAGAGCCATGAAAGCAGGGCTACTGCCGCCACCACCACCACCAATATTAACAGCTCTCATGAAGTGTGCAATAGGTGCTCAGCATTGATCTGAATGCTATACGTGTACTAACTCACTCATCACAACTTGATAAGATAAGCTTACTTGACTGCACAGATAAGGAAACTGAGGCTAAGTCCCTGTCCAAGGACCTACCTGGCCCCACTGGGATTTGAACCTGGGCAGGGGCTCTTTATCCTTACCTCCTACTGCACACGTTTGTAAAGGGAGAGGGATGGGTGGATGAATGGATCCGCCTGGTAAATGGGGTTTTAGTGCTAAGCAGAGTTGGGGAAGAAACACAGAAACACGAAGGTGACAAGACCATCCCCAAAGCATAAACGCTTTCTTCCCAGACACGACCCCAGTTAGATCTCGACTGCTCTGGTCAGGCCAGCATCTTCCCGCCAGGAACAAGCTACATGCCAGCAGTGTCCAGCCTCCCCATGGCCATAGGGCCTTTGTGTGTGCTCTGAGAAGCGGCAACTCTGTTGCCCCCTGGCCTGGCCAGCAGGCTGGCATAGGCAAGTGCCCACCACTCCAAGTGCAGACTCTTCCTTCCGCCCACATACCCTGTCTCAGGTCTGCCAGACCCGGGGCTCTGAAGCCAAAGGACAGAGCTGGCTGCCCAGAGTGGAAACCTGGACAGAGGGTGATGCTACCCACCAGCAGAGCAGCCAGTAGACTTGGCACAGCAAACCCCAGGACTTGCTGGCATCTGTTCCAACAGAACAGGTGAGCCCATTGGACTAAGCAAAGGCTAGCAGGGTGAATGCGGGAGAAAAGAAACACAGGTGAAAACTCCGTTGCTATATACTAAGCTGCCAACGGCAGGGACAAGAGACAGAGGCAAACCCCAGGACTTGCTGGCATCTGTTCCAACAGAACAGGTGAGCCCATTGGACTAAGCAAAGGCTAGCAGGGTGAATGCGGGAGAAAACAAACACAGGTGAAAACTCCGTTGCTATATACTAAGCTGCCAACGGCAGGGACAAGAGACAGACCCTTATCCTGGGCAATTTAACCACATCCAGAACTGAGGATCATAAAAAGGTAAAAAAAAAAAAATTTTTTTAAAAAGATGCCCTTAAATTAAACTTCTCCCTTATTCAATTGCCCCAACCTTCCGCCTTCACTGTCTGCCCCACCGACCTCCCAGAACATCCTGGACCTTACCTGTTTTGTTCCCGTGAGCATTTCTCACTATTCGAATAGCCACTGGTTTCAGGGGGGCTAGGAATTCCAGAACATTCTTCTGTAAAAAGAAAAAACAGGGCTGGCCCTTTAGGTCAGTTGGTTAGAGCATGGCCTTGTAACACCAAGGTCAAGGGTTCGGATCCCCATACAGGCCAGCTGCCAAAAAAACAACAAAAAAAAGAAGGAACATTTTTCCCCTTTATCAATCCAATAATAAAAGTACAACCCAATAAAGTGACCGGAGGCAAATTCTGAAACAGTTTACTCCTTTCCTTTAAATTGTACACATTTTTCCTCCAACATAAAATATAATTACCTTGGAAAAAATCAAACAACATTGGAGAAGAGGTGAATAATATAAAAATAAACTATTAATGTCATCCTCAATATTTTAAGGCATTGTTTTTCATCTTTTTTTCCTAAGTACCTTTTTTATACACTTGGGGTTAAATCTGGCTTTTTACACTTCTCATTAAAGCACGAACACTTTTCCATGTCATTTCATGGTAATAAACTTAAAAAAATTATATTGTAGATGGTCCCTCATTTTCTTAACTATTCCCCTACTTTGTAAATGTACATGATTCTTTTTCTTTTAAACACTCATGAAGGCATACAAGACATGTCCATGATTTAAACATTTTAAAAAATGCACAAACACACAGAGTATGAAATTTTAGCAAACACTAAAAATTACAAACAAGAAAACAAAAATGAGCCATAATTCCAATGACCAGATCACTCTTGTTGACTTTTTAAAAAAATAAAAGTAGTGAAACCATTTCCATTTGTATACTAGGTTAAGTCCTTTACAGGCCCTGGCACCGAAAAGACTGTAACGGCCAGGCAACCATACATAATTAAAGATCAAATAACTACTAAATAATGGAAGCTCAACAAAGTTCTGAATTTTTCACATTAACACTTCATATTTTCAAATTACCAAATTCTTTCAAAATAACTTTTTCCCTCTTTAGTTGTCCACTGGGAAATCCAGCACACTAGGTAATATGTGTATACATTTCCTTTTGATGGGGAAAAAAGAATCTGCCCACACTGTTCCATACTTTGCATCTTTCCCTTGATCTTCCCTACTGTACATTCTTTTTCATGACACACTATATCCACTGTTTCAATGTGCCACAGTGTTGTTGCCCCAGGGTTTGTCAACCTCAGCACTGCTGACACTCAGGGCCTGATCATTCTTGTTGTGGGGGGCTGTCCTGTGTACTGCAGGATGTTTACCTGCATCCTCGACCTCTGCTCACTAAATGCCAGTAACAACCTCCCCAAACACAGCTGTGACAACCCCAAATGTCTCCAAACACTACCATGTTCCTGCTGGAGGGCAAATCATCCCCAGTTGAGAACTACAGATATATCCACTTCCCTAGTGATGGAGCTGAAAGGTTTCATCCAGTTTTTTGTTTTTATAAAAAAAAGTGATATAAATTAACACATTAAATTGTAAATAAAATAGTAACAAAAGAACACTGCAATGAACATTCTTGCATTCAAATCTTGGTGTACCTGGGTGATTCACCTGTAGTGCAAATTCCTAGCAAGGTAATAGATCGATCAAAGGCATGGATATTCTTAATTTTGACTGACACTTCCACATTGGCAAAAGGCTGCACCAACAGTGTATAAAAGTATTTATTATCAAATGTTAAAATTTTTTGCCAATTTGGCATGTAAAAAATGTAATCTTCCAGTTTTTATTTTTATTTTATTTTTTAATAATTATGAGTGAAGGGCCGGCCCGGTGGCGCACTGGATAGTGCGCCGCTTGGGAAGCGCGGCGGCACTCCCGTCCGAGGGTTCGGATCCCTCTTCTGCTTCTATAACTATGGATGAAGGAAGCTAGCTTACTCCTTTTATTTTCTTAATGTCAGATAATGCTGCTTATAAACAGTGCTGCTCATCTTACTCTGGTAACTGCTCCCCATTTGGAATTTAGAGTTCTCGCTACTCCCCCCATCTGGTGGTTGTGTTGTTGATTTCGCCTCTGGCTGAGCAGATTGTACCTTAGATCTGGCTAGTCTTAAGGCTGCAGGGATTGTTTAAGGGATTAGTATCACCCATCTGAGCCAATGTGACAAGATGGTACTTGTTGAGATTCTTGGGACAGAGATAAGTGTTATTTTCCCACTAGTTTTGAACTCAACAGGATGTATACTAAGCATACTGACATTTTTGCATCATGTGGAAAGATGCAATCTAAGAACGGAGTCAACAGAGAGAAAATGGACTAAGAGAGAAAACAGGTCTTGCATTAAATCAGGCCAAAAGTCAGGCCAAACTGCTACTGGACTTTTTAGTTACATGAGCTAATAAATCCACTTTTTGGTTAAAACAATTTGGATCAAGTTTTCTTTCATGTATAACTCCAAAGAGTCTACTTATTTAACCCACCTCAAAAGTACTGTTGAGAGGATTAAATAAAATAAGACATGTAAAACACTAACTTCAGTGACTGGATCAAAGTATAATAATAATAATAATAATAATAATTATGAGTGAATTCAAGCATCTGTGCTGGCCATTTGCTGGTTTTTTTCTTGGATGACCTCCTATGCTTTGTTCATTTTTCTATTAGGTCACATGCCCTTTTAAAAAAATCTATCCATAAATTAAAGAAATTAGATTTTTGTCTGTTGTTTGTTACAAATGTCTGTGGTATGTCTTTTGACTTTATGACATTTGTTGCCTTACAGAAGTTCTCATCGATATGTAGTCAATTAGTCTGTCTTTTTCTTTATGGCTGCCAAGTTTTGCAAATTGATTAGAAAGGCATTTTTCATTCCAAGGTTATTAATAACCCATACATAATCCTACAACTTTTATCGTCTCATTTTTTGAAGCTTAAATCCTTCATGCATCTGAAATCTTTCTTGCTATGACGAGTAAGGCAGTGGTCCCTCTGTTTTTTCTTCACTAAAGTTAACTGCTCTCCCGTTACTATTCACCAATAATCACCCCTCTCTTCACTGACATGAATAACCCCCATTATCCTAAACTAAATTCCTATATATACATTTGAATCTGTTCCTGGATTCTGTTGTGTTTCTTTTAACCTGTCAACTCCTTTACCTGAAGCAAAATATTTTAATTACTGTAATTTCAGAATATTTTTCAGGGTCTTTTAGGAAGAGTCTTCCTTTGCAGGCAATTTTGTCATTGTGTGAACATAAGAGTGTACCTACACTAACTTAAATGGTATAGCCTACTACACACCTAGGCTCTATGGTATAATCTATGGCTCCTACGTGAGTAATCCATTGTGCTGCGACTTTACAATGGCTACGATATCACCAGCAGATAGGAATTTTTTGGCTCCATTAGTCTTATGGGAACACCATCATATACATGATCTTTAAACATCATTACGTGGCACATGACACACGGATTAAACTGAGATGCCATTTTTGCATGTCATATTCATAAAGGTCAAACCATTAATAATAACCAGGGTCGAGGGAAAGGGACACTCTCGCACTCTGCTAAAGGGAGTATAAATTAACAACACTTCCAGAGGGCAACTGATGCTCCATGTCAAAACCTTAAAAATGGACTGGTTGGTTAGCTCAGTCGGTTAGAGTGCAGCTTTGTAACACCATAGTCAAGGGCTTGGTTCCCCTTACAGGCCAGCCACCACAAAAAAAAAAAAAAAAACCCAAAAAAAAACCACTCCTGTTTCTTGACCCTGAGATCTTATTTATCAGCCTGTTTGTCCCCCACTTTCTTCTAGTTCATGTCCTCAGCTGATCCTAATGCCCCTATACATCAAAGGCCCCTGGCATCCCCACTCTCATCTCCTGCTCCCATTGGGGCTCCTTACCCTTGTCCTCAGTAGAACGTACCTCTGTGACACTGAATGGGGCTCCCCGCAGCTTCACAGTGTGAGGGGTGGTGGGTTCCTTCTGGTTCACTGGTTTCTCTGTCTGAATGATGGCAAAGAACAAACAGAAATGGCCACAGTGAGTTCCCTAGTACAGCTGCAGGAGGCAGCAGACCAGGACATCTCAGTGCTGGAGGAAGTGCCACAGCAGGGGGAGGTGGGGAATGCTGGCAAGGATCCGTGCCTGCTGTGGATGGAGAGTCTGGCCAGCGTGGAGGTGGGAGCTGCCAAGCCTCCATTTGCATCCCTGAGATGAGGGCTGTGATCAGAGCCCAGCAAGCTACGGGCAGGCTAACAGGAGGCCTGGGCTACAAGGAAGGCCACAGGGAATGGGAAGGAGCCCTGAAGCACAGTGATGTTCACTCCCGCTCATGTAGGGCTTCCTCTGTGCCAGATACCACGCCAAGCACTCTGCAGATGCCACTGTCCTAGTGAATCTTTAAAACAGTCCCATAGGGACTACAGGCTCAGGATCTTTTCCTGTAATTCTGGAGTCCAAAGACCTCCGAAAAACCTAAGCTTTTGGTAAGTCATTTGGCATCAAAACCTGCCCGACTTGAACTCATTTCCCAGCAAAGCTTACTCTGAGCTGATGTGAGCCAATTTACAGCTTCTACAAGCATACTTCAAAAACTTTGTGGAAAAATAGAATTAAAATACCCATCTTTTCATGAACTTTTGAAGACCCCTTGTATTTATCGCATGTGCACACGTGATCATTTCTGGTTTCACTGCAGAAATATTAATGTGCTTGATTATGGGGTGCTATCCCAGGCCTTGCTGGAGGTATGATGTCACGTAAGATTATCTTCCTGAAATCTGAAAGTTTCTGAATTCCAGCATATACTTAGGCACAGGCGGTTCAGAAACCAACAGCAGGGACCGGTGCACCATGAACGCCATTTCACAGATAAGGATTAGAGGCTTGTGGAGGTGAAGTATCCTACCCAATATCCAACAGCTATTAAAATTGGAGCTGGGACTTAAACCCTTAATTCTCTGATTTTTCCATACTCTACCACCTCTCCGAAATAAACATTTTTTGGACAAAAGGCAGAGTGTGGTCATTAGCAGGGGTGGAAAATGAAAGGAGGGAGAAAGAAGAGGAAAGGGTAAAGAAAGAAGGGGCATGAAGTCTCCCTTCATCTCATATGAACCTAAAAGAAGGGCAGGGGAAGAGGCCTCGCAGGGAGATGGAATGGGGACCCACACAATGTGTCATGCTGCCCTGTCTAGCAAGCAGAGAGAGCTCTCAGGTAAGAGACGAAGTGGCTGCTCTCGAGGATGGTACCCACATTTATAATCTAGACTTCAGAGCTGGGCAGACCTGGGTCCGTGTCCTGACCCCCCTTCCCAGCCATGACCTTGGGCAAGTCACTTCCTTTCTCTTGTCCTCAGTTTCCTCACATGGAACCAGAATACTTGCCCCACAACACTGTGATGAGATTCAATGACATGGTGGGTCCGGTCCCCAGCACGTAGTAAGCGCTCAGTTAATCTTATCTGTGGGTATCAATGATCGACTCACTCACATCTGCCTACCTTTTTAAAACACAAAGGTATGACAAGCTCATAGCCATCATCTGGCTCATTCACACCCCACGACTTCAGCAGGCAAGCAGTCTCTCCAGGTTAGTAACAGGAGATGAACGCAGAGAGAAGTGCTTGCCAGGGTCACAGAGCAAGCAAGCGGTGACAGAGACGTGAAAGCAAGTCTGTAGACTGCAGGCTGCTTCCTCTATGTTACCCCCCCCTCACAAAGGGGCTGCAGGGACCATGGGCAATCACAGGGGTGGAATGAGAGAAGTGCTTGCCAGGGTCACAGAGCAAGCAAGCGGTGACAGAGACGTGAAAGCAAGTCTGTAGACTGCAGGCTGCTTGCTCTATGTTACCCCCCCCTCACAAAGGGGCTGCAGGGACCATGGGCAATCACAGGGGTGGAACTCCTCCCCCTGTGCCTCCTGGATACATACGCACCTGGGCTTGGGCACTGGGTGGTCTCTTATTCCCAGATGGGGCCCTGTGCTCCTGGCCGCACCCCCTGCTCTGTCTCTCCTGTGGGGCTGGGGCAGCGGAGGAAGCCTCTTCCTCAGCCTCACTCCCTTTGTCGCAGTTCACTGCTTCGTCTTCGCTCTCCTCCTCCTCCTCCTCTGAGGAAGAGGACAACTCGGCCTTCACCATCTTGGATTTCAGGTAATCCATGTCTGACAGCTCCTTCTGCACAGCTGTCTTTGGTTCAAGGCCATCCTCCTCTGGAAAAACAGGGAGGCTGGGATCAGCAACAGCTGGGTACAAACAAGAAACAAGGGGCAGTGTATGGCAGATGGTCCCCTCAGGGAGTGGCCAGAGGCGCCATGCCCACCACGACAGAGGCCCTATATCCAGCAGCCCCGATAAGTCCTCTGTAGAGCAGCATCAAATGGGGTGAGGCTACTGGTTTTGATATTATATGAGCCACATGACGAGAGCTGCGTGGCTCCCTGCTGCGTGGCTCCCTCTCCCTGCGTCTTGCCTGCCCCAATCCATCCTTTATGTTTCTAAGAGTATATATACAGGGTTTTCACTCTCTGCTTAACACCCTCCACTGGTTTCCAAATGCTCAAGGCGAAACCCAAATTCCTTCTCATCCAGGCGGGTGAGCTGACTGGCTTCCCCTTCCAGCTCCAGCTCCTCCAGCTCCTCCAGCTCCGGCCATCCTAACCAAGATGAGTCCCTCAGGCCCATGCATTCCCCTTGCCTCTGCGATGCTGTTCCCCTGCCTGAAGCCCCTTCCCTTCCCTCCCCTCCTGTGTCTCAAGTCCTGTGAGACCTTTGGATCTCAGCTTAGTACAGAAACTTTACCAGTCATAAAACTCACATTCTCTCACCTTTAAACCAACATCGACTCCTGATCATCCTGGAATGCAGCGCCCATCACTCTGTGCTGGGACTACTCTCTTACCATCCCCATCACGCCGTGAGCCCCTGAGGACAAGTGTTCACTCCCCTGCATCCTCAGTGAGGCCTTCCCTGACCACTCCCCTGTCCCCCTTCCCCATCTTCTCTCTGTAGCATGGTATAACATACCCAACAGTGCACTTATAGAGGGAGCTTGAGTGCAGTGTCTGGCACAGACGGCAGGCACAGCCCGGCACATGCTGGAGCATATGCAGGGGCACAGCACCTGCACAGCACACACCTGCCCTCACCTTCTGAGTCCTCCCCGGCTCCCTCCTCCTCACTCTCCTGCCCTGAATCAGAGTCGAAGTTCAGGTAGTCATTAGCTGGTTTGCTCTTCCCTTTCAAGGGCTCGGTGTCCAGGACATCATTTGCCCAAGTGGCTGCCTGTGTCCGCCTCTGGTGAACCGACAGGAACTCCTGGAACTCGGTATCTTCCTTCAGCTGGTGGTAACAGAGCAGGGGCAGCAGGGTCATGGGAAGAGGGAGGAAGAGGCAGAGAAGGCTCAGGCAGGGCTCAACCTTTCTAACTTGCAGGAGGGTCAGAGCATCCTCCAAGCTCACATGCCCCCATCTCTAACAGGCCCCGAGGGTCAGCTGGGTCAGGTGAGGAAGGAAGAGTGGACTCTTCACCAGACAAGACTAAGAAGCCACAGAGACATGGCAACGGGAGACGAGGGGCATGGCGCTCTGTTTGCCTGGGCCAGCGTCCACCCTCTCCCGCCTGCTGTCACCCTCCTTCTTGTTCAACAGGACACTCACCTTCTCCAGTTCACCTGCTACCTTTTTCTTCTTATTATCCTGAAAGCAGAAGGCACAGATGGTGAAGATTCACAGATGAAGGGAGAGGGAATGGAACTGCGTTTCCCCAGGAGGGCCCACCTTCAGCAACCATCCAAGAGTGAGTTTCACTCCCCTCCCAGGGAGTGACCACCCTGCTGACACTGGGCACAGGGGCTGGAGTGACCACCTACGTACTTTCTTAGTTTCCAGGGGAACAGAGTCTTTTGAAGGCTGCTTGGACTGGCTTGGTTTCTGGGCATGTTTGCTCCAGGCTCGGGGCTTTGTTGGGTCCCCAAATGCCTTGCAGAACTCCACCTGCGTGGGAAAGAGAAGGTGTTTTCACACCTGCCAGGCACTGGGTGTTGCCCTTCAGCATCTGGGAGCTACAGGTTTTTAAACAGGCCATTGCTGCTGGCTAGCTGAGCCAGCTGAAGCAAACTCCTTATCATCTCCTAGCTTTGGCTTTCTTCTCCTTAAAGTCTGTAACATCATATTACAACAGTCTATTATTACAAGGATACTTCAAAAAGTTCATGGAAAAACAGAATTAAAAGATAATATGAATCGTTCCATGAACTTTTTGAAGTAGCCGCATATGAGTCTATAGTAATAGTTACCATTTGCTGAGGAAATGCACATGCCAGGCACTGTCTTGTGCTCTCCAAGTTCTAACGTGCTGGGCCTCACAACAGAGCGAGGCAGGAGCTGTTACTCTCCTCACTTCACAAGTCAGGAAGCTGAAGCACAGAGAAGTGAAGTAGCTTGCCAGGGGCCCCCAGGCAGTGAGTGATAGAGTAGAGACTGGAACTCAGGGAGTCTCTGAACTCTGCAGCCCGATTCACTCAAAGGGAAGCTGAGAGGCTGGAATGACAGGACACAGACGAGTGCTCAGCCAGGGCCTGGCGCAGGGCAGTACAGGCCAGTGGCTTCCAGCATTACTCTGATTATGGTGAGGTGAGCTCCTCTGGCCCCAAAGAACAACTCTAGGGTAATGGGGAAAATAGGGTGACCATGGGGGACATGGAAGAGTGTTGAGTATCCAGCCCGAGCTGATGTACCTCTGTGGCCCTAACAACTCCGGAATGCACTCTGAGATGACCCTTGTGAGTGATGGCCCCACTAGGAGCCTGTGGTGGGCACCCCACCACAAGCCACTCCCAGCCACAGTCAAGGCCAACACTGGTCAGCCAACCACTGCCCCGCAGGGATGGGGCTGCCATTTGGTTACACCCCTTCTGGATGGACTTTCAAGTTTTATTCCTTCTGTAATAATGATGTGCTCATGGCAAAAAATTCAAACAAAAAAAAGAGATACAATAAATGTTATGAAAAAATTATTGTAATTCCTACCACCCAGAGACAGAAATTAATATTTTAGTAAAAATCCTGCCCTATGGCCCTTTATGCTTATATCACACACATATAGATCATCAAAGGACAGGGTTGTGCATACATCAGATCATGAGATGAACACCTGTCCATCATCTGCTGCTTCCTTCTCAACAAAGTGCGAGATGTATTACCAAGTCATTAAATGCACATCAGTGACCTGTATGGGATCTTTTCCTCCAGGAAGCTTTCCCGACTCTTCCCTGGCCAGGGTGGGGGCCTCTCTGTTCTCCCACCCCGGGACCGACAACACTGAACAAAAGCAATCCATTCACCTGTCATCCCCTGCCTTCCCATAGGCAGCTGGCTCCATGAGGACAGAAGCCAGGGTACCACATAGTTCTCTAAATTCCCAGCATGGAGTGGGAGCTCACTGAGTGCTTGCCAAATGGGTGAGTGAACAGACAATGTAGACCTGTGCTTCTCAAAGTGTGGTCCTTGGGCCAGCAGCACAGGCCATCACCTGAGAGCTCATCAGACATGCAAATTCTTGGGCCCCACTTCATGTTCTGAACCAGCAGCTCTGGGGATGGGCCCAGGAAACTGTTTTAACAAGCTCTCGGGTGATTCTTAGGCACAAGAAAGTGTGTGAACCAGTGAGGCAGACCAAGGACATCACAGTCTGAAGGGGGACAGTCTTTGGACCTGAGTGTTGAAAGATCAAGTGGCGTCACTTTCAACGAGCAGGCAGGGGCCAGGCTTCTGCTTACTCACTATGATCCGGGATGTGTCAATGAAACTCTTGTTGAAATGGTTCTGTGCCGTTTGGGCCTCCTCCTCGGACTTGAAGCCGATAAAGCCGAACTTGCGGAACTTGCCGTCTTTGGTGAACTTCAGGCTGCAGTCCGTGAGCGTGCCGAAGGCGGCAAACAGCTGCCTGAATCGCTCCTCCTTCATCTACAATGGAGAGGTGCAATGAGGAAGGCACTGGGGAGTCCCCAGAGTAAGGGGACAAAATAGGTCAGAAACTCAAGGTCACCGTATCCAGGGGTGACTTAAACAAGGAAGTGGCAGGGTGTACATTTCTAGTCAGACCAGGTTCCAGCTCTGACTCTAACACTTACGAGTTGTGTGGGCTTGACAAAGCCCCTTACCCACTTCACTGATGAGGAAATCAGGACTCATAATGGCTGTAAACATTATCTTCCTACCCTGTGAGGCTGTTACGAGGATAAGACCAATGACAAAAGCAGCTTATGGCTGCTACAACACAGTAGATATCGAATAAATGCTTGTCAGAATGAATGAATAAATGAACAAACATGGTACACTACATATGTTTGCTAAATGTGGTAGAGAGAATAATGGAGCCCCCCAAAAGATGTCCACATCCTAATCCCTGAGACCTGTGGATATGTTATATTACATAGAAAAAAGGGACTCTGAAGATGTGATTAAGGATCTTGAGATGAGGAGATTATCCTGGATTATCTAGGTGGACCCAACATAATCACAAGGGTCCTTGTAAGTGGGGGGGCGGGTGGGGGTGAGGGGGTGTGCATATGGGACCAGGTAAGAGAGAAGAGATGTAGTGGTGGTGGGAGGAGAGGGAGATGGAGATGGAGAGAGAGAGACTGGAAGATGATATGCTTCCGGCTTCAAAGGTGAGTCAGAGGAGAAGTGACGATGGAAGCAGAGAGAGCCTGGAAGATGCTATGCTAGTGGCTTTGAGGACAAAGGATATGGCCATGAGCCAAGGAAGGCAGGTGGTTTCCAGAACATGAAAAGGACAAAGGAACAGATTCTCCCCTAGTGCCTCCAGAAGGACTGCAGCCCTGCCAAGACCTTGATTTTAGGATTTCTGACCTCCAAAAATGTCAGATAAATTTGTATGGTTTAAGCCACTAAGTTTGAGGGTAGTTTGTTACAGTAGCAATAGAAAACTAACTCATTAATATTATTATAGTTTGGTCAAGAAGCTCCACATTATAGAAAACTGGTTCTTGGCTTCCCACCTTCCTCACTCCAGCCAGGCCACCCTCACAAATCAGTGAGTTTTCTAAGCAGATATTGGGAGATTTTTGTGTGTGGTAGTAGGGTTGAGGAGGCACTTGGCCCCACAAATGGCCAAAGCAAGCTTTTCAAATGCAAAAAGCTAGAGGCCTTGGCAGCCCAGTTGGAAGGAAGAAGACATTTTCTGAGGCAACTTCTTAATAACTCTGAATTCTAAAATCTCACTGTCACTCTATGAGTTAGGAATTTTTATCCATATTTCACAGAAGAGAAAATGGAACTCAGAAGATAAATGATCTGCCCAAGGTCAACAGAATCAAGGTTTGTGACTTAGCTCAGATGTATAAAAGACAGTGAATTCACGTTCCCATTACCTGGGAGAGACCTTACTCAAGTCTGATCCCATCAGTCCTCTGCCAAAAACCTTTGGGTGACTTTCTAGCACCAAAGGCTCAAGGACAGGCATCTACAGTAAAACACGAGATTCTTCATGATCTGGCTCTGGTCCCACTTTTGCCAAACTTCTCACAGCCTTCCATGCTTCTCACCTCTGAGGTTTTACCATGGACCTTCTCTAGGGTGACATCTTCCCAGACAGGTCCTGGCTCCTCATTCTCAGTTCAATCATCTCCTCTCCTCCAGGAAGCCTTTCCTAGATCCCTCATATGGGATCCCTCAGATTACTAACTTCCTCTTCCCTCCCACAGCACCCAGTTCATACTTCAATCCCTGTACCCTGCATCACAACGTTGTGGTGTCTGCCTCCTCTGCTAGTCTGCAAGCTCCATAAAAGTGGGAACGATGTCAGCAACATCACAAGTACTGTACACTACTAAATGTTTATTTGATGAAGAATAAGACAAGTGAATGCAATCATGCTAAGAGAGGCAGTATGAGGTAAGTGGTCAAAAATGCAAATTCTAGAACCAGATTTTTCAATTCAATCCCTGCCCCATGAATTACCACCTGTGTGTGACCTCAGGCAAATCATTTTACCTTGCTGCACTTTAGTTTCTTCACCTTTAAAATGGGCATAATAATAGAACCTATTTCACAAGGTTATGAGTGAGATTAAATAAGTTACTTTACCTAAAAGCACCTGGAACAGTGCCTGGCACAGAGTAAACTCTCAAAGTGTTAGTTACTACCATTATTGTTTTTGCTAATAATTCTTTCGTCCATCAGACAAGACAAACAATGGTAGAGTGTCAGCCACATTAGGAAACACAACAAAACTGGTCGGGAGGGAAAGGAAGGGTGGCCATGCTAAAATCCTCATCCAACGAAGTGAGGCATAAAGAGACACTGTCTAAAACTGATGGATGGATCAATGATAGATATTTTTAAAGTATACTATTTAGAGTGAATGATGGAAGAATTAAAAACAATAATACTACAGAGATTGGAGGGGAGAAGCAGACGATCTAAGTTCCTCATCTTTCATAGTGAGGACTCAGCAGATAGTCACTGGGATAAACAGGTCAAGAAAAGTGAGGCATAAAGAGACACTGTCTAAAACTGATGGATGGATCAATGATAGACATTTTTAAAGTATACTATTTAGAGTGAATGATGGAAGAATTAAAAACAATAATACTACAGAGATTGGAGGGGAGAAGCAGACGATCTAAGTTCCTCATCTTTCATAGTGAGGACTCAGCAGATAGTCACTGGGATAAACAGGTCAAGAAATGGAGAGAACACAATATTTGAATATACAGAGATGCATATGAGGAGACCTAGGTACAAACCAATGAAGATGGGTACTCCTGGAGATGGAGGGTGGGATTGAGTAAAGACTTTGCTTCTCATTTTATACTCTACTATACCTGCTTGAATTTTTAAAACCGTGTATCATAGGTCCCTACCACCTGATGAAGAAGAAAAAAAAAAAAAAATGAGGAAAGTAAAAATTCACAACAATGAAACAGAAATGGCTTTGTATTCTCTAAGGAGATTCCCAAGAGGTAGAATGAAGAGTACAGATGACATTTTCATATCATCCAAATGGCTCATTTTGTATTTTGGGAATACGCTACAGGCCACACCAGTGGTGTGGGGGCTCTCCATCCAAGAAAAGTTATAATGAAATGGGAAGGATGATCCACTCCAGTACACTGCATCCAATCGTCTATTTCTTCACTCATTTATCCAGTATGTTTTAATTGAATGCTTACCATGTGCCAGATTCTGTGCTGGGCTCTAGGGAGACAGAAAAGTATGACTGGGTCACCCCTTCCCCACTTACTGGATAAATGGTGTCAACCCCTTCACGCCCACTCAGTATTCCTAACTGCCCTAAAGACAGGAACGGGTACTGGAACGCAGGTCCTCAGACTAATACTCCCATATGCCTCCCCGACAGTCTCCGGAATGGAAGAGGATTAGGAGGGGTCTTCAAAACGTTCATGGAAAGACTCGTATTTTTTTTTTTTTTTTAAGATGACCGGTAAGGGGATCTTAACCCTTGACTTGGTGTTGTCAGCACCACGCTCACCCAGTGAGCGAACCGGCCATCCCTATATGGGATCCGAACCCGGGGCCTTGGTGTTATCAGCACCGCACTCTCCCAAGTGAGCCACGGGCCGGCCCAGAAAGACTCGTATTTTTTAATCGTATTTTCCCACAAACCTTTTGAAACACCCTCGTATTAATGTCTGACCTAGTCACGGATCAACAAAAACGAACAAACGTGATCGGTCGAGAGAAGTCGGAGCAAGGCACTCCACTCAAAGTGGAGGTTGTCCCCTCCCTGGGAAAAGAGATGTCGGGTTGGGAATCAGGTACCCACCAGCCGGCCACGCAACCTTAAGCGGTCACTATTCCTCTTTTCCCAGCGGTTAAACGTGGATAAACCCAGGATCCTGCCCCCTTTAGATTCTAATCCGCCCCAAGTCCCGCCCCAGAGCGAATATCGCTCAATGCTCTCAGCCACCTCTTCCCCACTCCTCAGCTCCAGGCTGATTTCATTTTCAGATTTTCAAGGCCTGGCTCTGCACTCACCCCATTCGGGAGGTTCTTCACGATCAGTCGCGACATGGCGCACGGTCCCCACTGTTTTGATTTTAGCACGACTGGACAGCGTCTTCCACCAACAACTTTCACGTTGCCACTTAGGGCGCCGCCATTTTTGGCAAGCCGGAACGAAGTCACGTGGCCGAGGCGTAAGGCTGCCCCATCCGGAAGTAGGCGTGGCCAAACCAGAGTTGCCCAAGGAAGTCACAGCAGCCAAGGGGCGGGCCAGAGCTTGCATTCTGCGCAGGCGCTGGCTCTTTGGCGGACCGCCAGTTCCTAACCATGGGCGGGGGGTTGCGCGGGGTTAGCGCAGTGCTGAGGGCTACGCAGTCGCGGCTATCGTTTTTCTCGTCCGTTTCCTATTTTATTATAGACAGCCTTGAGAATACAGACAGGACTGGGGACTCTTGCCTCCCTTTTACAGATGAAGAAATAGGCTTAGAGAGGCTGCCAGGCACCAGGAATCAATTATTGAGCATTTTGTGTAAATTATTAGAATGTGCATATTGGAAATGAACACCCCCATTTTGCAGTCGGGTAAACTGGGAACCAGACTAATAAAGCAAATCTCTCAAAGTCGTATTAGGTAGAAAATCCGGGATTTGAACTGGGGGCTGCTTAGGCCCCGGCAATGAGGGCCTATGCCTTCACCTTCATCCCCACAGTATTATGCCGCAGTTCCTGCTGAGTTTTGAAATCCCGGCCCACCAGCCTGTTAGCTAAGAGATCTTGGCCAAACTAGCCTCTGTGAGCCTTTTGTAAAGTGGAGATGATTCTGTATTGTCCTATTGTTCTTACAGATGATTCTGTAAGAACGTAAAGCGCCTGGGATATTACCTTCCTACTGCTCTGAGTATTTTCGGTACCCACTGTTAGATGGGGGCGTGTCTTATGAAAGAGCCCGTTTCCTTTCCTGAATGACCTACTTCCTTACTGTTCAGGCACTTACAGTTCTACAGTTCCTCAGCTGCTCTGGACTTCTTCCCAAGCTTTTGCAATTTCTTTCACCTGAAAGACACTCATCCTGCCATCTGTTTTTTGGTTGTTGTTAACAGCTTTATTGAGATGTAATTCACATGGTATGCAATTCACTCCCTTAAAGTGTGCAATTCAGTGGTTCTTAGTATATCTACAGAGTTGTGCAACCATCACCACAATCAATGTTAGAACATTTTCATCACCCGCTAAAGAAACCTTGGACCCTTTAGCTGTCACCTGCCAATTCCTCCCTCCCTCTAGTCTCAGGCCACCACTAATCTACTTTCTGTCTCCATGGATTTGTCTATTCTGGACATTTCGTATAAATGGAATCATATGAAATGTGGTCACTTGTGTCTGGTTTCTTTCACTTAGCGTACTGTTTTTAAGGCTCATCCATATTGCAGCATGTGTCAGTAATTCATTCCAGTTTTGCTGAATAATATTACATGTATGGATATACTACNCGTATTAGGTAGAAAATCCGGGATTTGAACTGGGGGCTGCTTAGGCCCCGGCAATGAGGGCCTATGCCTTCACCTTCATCCCCACAGTATTATGCCGCAGTTCCTGCTGAGTTTTGAAATCCCGGCCCACCAGCCTGTTAGCTAAGAGATCTTGGCCAAACTAGCCTCTGTGAGCCTTTTGTAAAGTGGAGATGATTCTGTATTGTCCTATTGTTCTTACAGATGATTCTGTAAGAACGTAAAGCGCCTGGGATATTACCTTCCTACTGCTCTGAGTATTTTCGGTACCCACTGTTAGATGGGGGCGTGTCTTATGAAAGAGCCCGTTTCCTTTCCTGAATGACCTACTTCCTTACTGTTCAGGCACTTACAGTTCTACAGTTCCTCAGCTGCTCTGGACTTCTTCCCAAGCTTTTGCAATTTCTTTCACCTGAAAGACACTCATCCTGCCATCTGTTTTTTGGTTGTTGTTAACAGCTTTATTGAGATGTAATTCACATGGTATGCAATTCACTCCCTTAAAGTGTGCAATTCAGTGGTTCTTAGTATATCTACAGAGTTGTGCAACCATCACCACAATCAATGTTAGAACATTTTCATCACCCGCTAAAGAAACCTTGGACCCTTTAGCTGTCACCTGCCAATTCCTCCCTCCCTCTAGTCTCAGGCCACCACTAATCTACTTTCTGTCTCCATGGATTTGTCTATTCTGGACATTTCATATAAATGGAATCATATGAAATGTGGTCACTTGTGTCTGGTTTCTTTCACTTAGCGTACTGTTTTTAAGGCTCATCCATATTCTAGTCTCAGGCCACCACTAATCTACTTTCTGTCTCCATGGATTTGTCTATTCTGGACATTTCGTATAAATGGAATCATATGAAATGTGGTCACTTGTGTCTGGTTTCTTTCACTTAGCGTACTGTTTTTAAGGCTCATCCATATTCCAGCATGTGTCAGTAATTCATTCCAGTTTTGCTGAATAATATTACATGTATGGATATACTACATTTTATTTATCTATTCATCAGTTGGTAAACATTTGTGTTGTTTCCATTTTGTGGCTATTATGCATAATGTTGCTATAAACATCCCTGTATAAATTTTTGTGTGGGCATTTGTTTTCATGTCTCTTGGGTATATTTCTAGGAGTGAGATTGCCAGGTCATATGGTAGCTTTATGTTTAACCTTTTTAGGAACTGCTAAACTGTTTTTCGAAGTGGCTGCACCACTTTACATTCCTACTAGCAATACATGAAAGTTCCAGTCTCTCCACAGCTCCTCCATTTGTTATTATGTCTTTTTAATTATAGCCATTTTAGTGGGTGTGAAGTGGCATCTCAGTGATTTTGATTTGTATTTCCCTAATGGCTAATGAAATGAGCTTTTTTTTTTAATGTGCTTTTGACCATTCATATATCTTTCTGAAGCCACCCCCACCCACAACCATTCTCTAAAACCATGTCAAACATAGTGTCTTTGAACAGATCTCTTCCTCACTGAGCCCCAAACACAGGGACTCAATGTGTCTGCCACAGCATAAACCTTCAGAAATCGCTGTTAGGAACATATTGGGCTGATTTAGAGTTACAGATGGGCTGCTTGTTGCCTCCACGTTGTGTTGCCAAAGGGGCCCCATTTGATCCACCTTTGAAATGCATCACACTAGACACCAGGAGGAGACAAGTAACAGGAGTTCAGTAAATGCTAATTGTAAATTAAGTTCTGTTGATTCAAGGAAATTCTATGAGTGAGCTAGGCAGTTGTATATGTTCTCGAAGGAAATACATCAGCCAGCAGGAAACAAGTGGCACACTCAAAGGGATTTAATTGAAGAGAATCTAAAGAAGGGATTATTTACAGAGGTGTGGGCAGGGATTATTTACAGAGGTGGGATGAATGCTCCCCCCCCCCCACAAAGATATGTCCACATCCTGAACACTGGAACCTGCGAATGTGACCTTGTTTGGAAAAAGGGTCTTCGCAAATATAATTAAGGATCTCAAAATGAGATCATCCTGGATTATCTGGGTGGAACCTAAATCCAGTGACAAGTGTCCTTATAAGAGACATGCACAGAAGGCCATGTAAAGATGGAGGCAGATTGGAATGATGTTGCCACAAGCCCAGGAACACCTGGAGCCACCAGAAGCCGGAAGAAGCAAAGAAGGATTTTCTCCTACAGCTTTCAGAAGGATCAAGGTCCTGATGATTCTTTGATTTCAGACTTCTGGCTTCCAGAACTGTGAGAGAATAATTTTCTGATGTTTCAAGCCACCCAGTTTGTGGTCATTTGTTACAGCAGCCACAGGAAACTAATGCAGGCAGGGTTAAGGGAACCAACACAGTGGTCAAACACCAGGGCCTAGTAGCAGTGGGGAGGAGCTGTTGCACCCCAGGTCTGAGGGCATAGAGGAGGGCATTTCCTCCCTGGAGCTCAGTGAGGGCAGGAGCTGTGGACAGATGAGAGGTGGACTGTACAAGGGCTGTAGTTGTAGAGGGATAATGACCACTGAAGAATCACAGAGGGTGTGTATGTGTGTATGTTGGGGATAAATACCCTGTCCCGCTTTCTCTCCTCACCTCCAGTTTCCTGCTGGAGCCTCCCATTGGCTAAACCAACCAGAAGGTGTAGATGTGACAAGTGACACAGTCCCCACAGGTAGCATCTGGGGCACAGAACAGAGTCGGGGACCAGGGACAGTGGATGGGAGACGAGCTGTTGCAGAGTAACCAGCACACGGGACCATCTCTGAGACATACTGTTGACAGAAAGCAGCAAATACTAAAGGGTGTGTGATATGTGCTGTTGCTGGGGTGAGAAAAGGAGGGTGGACATGGTGATACTATTGTGTGTGTTTGCTAGGACTGCTGTACATCTAGAAATTTAGTCTCACAGTTCTAACAGCTAGAAGTCCAAGATCAAGGTGTGGGCAGGGTTGCTTCCTTCTGAGAACTGTGAGGGAGAATCTTTTCCTCCTTTCTCTTCATTTCGGTGGCTGCCAGCAATCTTTGGCGTTTCTTGGGTTGTAGATGCATCACCCCTATCTCTGCCTTCATCTTCACAAGACGTTCTCCTTGTGTGCATGTGTCTGTGTCCAAATGCCTCCTTTTTATAAAGACACCAGTCGTATCCGATTAGGGCCCATCTCAATGACCTCATTTTAACTTGATTACCTCTGTAAAGACCCTGTTTCCAAATGATGTCACCGTGTAAGGTTAGATCTCCAACATATGAATTTGGGGGGGACATCATTCATCCCATAAGTTATGTAAGCAAAGATGATCTCATAAGGTACACAAGGAAGTGGTAACATTGAATGCTTCAGGGGAGGGGACCAAGGAAAAGGGTGTCCAGGTAGAGGGAGATGTCCTTTCTATGGAGTAACTTTTTGTAATTTTGATTTTTTCATCATGAAAAAATTATCTATTATTTTAAATTAATTGTGTATAATCTACATATGGATATAATTATACTTAAACAAACAGAGGAAAGCCAACAAGAGTGGATTTTTTTTTTTTTTTGTCTTTTTCCGTGTCCGGCAACGGATCGCAACCCTCAGTGTTG